TTTCGGAATCTCAAAATGTGCATTCGATCGGATCCCAACCAAGAAATTTTCGAATTCAGTCGGAATATCGAGCATCGGAATCATGAAAAATCGATTCGATCGGATTCTGAACGAACCAAAATTTTGTTCGGTTGCCGTCATCAATCTATTTGTTGTGACTGACGATAAAACACCACTGAGGTAATCGATTTGCTCCACTCACAGAGCATGATATTAAGCATAATATTAAGGTGCACTTTATGGCAGTGATTTACGAGCACAATATAAATAATTCACAATTTATCGCTGAATGGCTAATCAGTAACTAATCAATCGTTCAATTAATAATCAAAATTAGGATTTCATGAAATTCCCAGGTCTTATTACTAGATCGTTAATTATATGCAGAGGAAGGATGTGATATTGGTAATAATAGACTGGCATAAACTTATAACGAGTTGTAGTTGCTGATAAGTTAAAAAATAAATGCTCTAATAATTTATGAATATATTAAGAATTTATATTTTGAAAAAAAAACAATCAAAACAATGAGAATGAATGAGATCCGAATTTGTAGAAAATGAAAGAAGGATACAGTGGGGTACACTGCACGGGAATAACATCCGAAAACTTTCTTCAATTAGTTTAACAAAACATTTCAGTCGCGATTGATGAGCAACGAATGATTTTTTTAAATAGCGAGACTTCTTCTTTCTTTGCAAAGTAGCAACAAAAAAATACAAAAAAAAAACTCCCGCACGCTTGGTTGCTTCTCAAAAATGAACAAATAACAACGAACAGTAAAATGAAGCTGCCTACTATCTATACCTGTACAACGAACGTAATGATGGATGATTGGCTGTCTTTCTAGAAATAACGTAGACTAGCTTAAGTCAGCTCAGAGCTGAGCAGATGTTGTTCGTTCTATTAAACAACAGAACAATATTGGACTGACTTCCAGCTAAATGAAACCAAACGGGAAAAAAAACGCAACAGAATAAAAACAAAACGACGTGAGATAACCTTCATCACATTTATTGAACACTATGCGTCAGGCACAGCATAAGTCATGCTGCAAGAGCACATCCAGTTAGAACCCTCAAGTACGCAAATATTCAGTCCCCTAAAAGGCCAAGTTTCCGGCAAATAACGAACTACATATTGCTATCTACTACTGTTGCTGTTGCTATTGCTCTCCCTCAATTATCGATGAAGACTGCAAAAAAAGAAGAATAAATTTTGAGTAGTGGCCACCCAGAAGATGCCACTCAGAATTTTCTTTTTATGCTTGTATACGCTATCAACACAGCGCCACAACATACAACATATTCACAATCATTGGCAACACTAGCATCTGTACAAATAAATAAATGTAAACTATAAAATTTCATCTGCCAATTAATCCATCCCCTAATCCACTGGCGTATGCTATATCCACCATCAATTGTAAAAACACAAACTAGTTAACAATATTAGCCATTAGTTAGCATTAACTCGAAAAGGGCACTAGAAACAGTAGTGAGCTGCTGCTGCTGCTGCTGCTGCATTAACATCAATATCGACATTGCAATCAACATCAGCACTAGAATCCGTTCTGTCTCGCAATGACAGTATAAGCAATTCACTTGTGTACAAGCTTATCCCTAGCAATAAACTAATCGAAAAAAGACAGACTAAATGAAGAGAAATAGAGGCAAGCAGTGGAGGAAACAAGCTGAATGAATCATCGCAGCTAAAAGATGAAAATTACATGAACGCTGCAATGCAAATGTCAATTTTCGTACAAATGTCACTTCTATTCAACGCAGACATTGTTCATGTTCAAGTAATAGCAACAAGCATGAAAGAGGGTCGATTTCCTTGCGTACGTCATATATTTACATACGTATTTCATTCATATCATACTTTGTAGTCGGTTGACAGAAATATGTGAAAGAGATATATGTGAATGAAGAGGTAAATGCCTCTTGTTACGATATAGCAGCTGGATGAATAGAGATTGAAGAAGCGGGGGTGAGGGATGAATGAATGCAATAAACTTCGTGGATAAGACTGGTAGATTGAGCTGAAAGAAAGTGGACAGACTAACTGAGGAAACAGCAAGTGGCGTTAAGAGTGACTGAATACTCCTTTGAGATGAGAAGGAAAGGAAAGAAATCGATTTTGAGACAAGGGGATTGAGTAAAGCTGCAACGGCTTCTTCATATACAAAGAACATAAGCATGCATGAACACAAATAAACACATACATATAGATGGGTAAAGGAAACAGGAGCAAATATTGGAAGCGTTCCTGCTCACGCATCAAAACCCATAGCGACGAAGTTGATGGCGAGGAATCAATCACGTGGCGATATTATTACATGCCAAACGAATGTCAACAACACTCATGCTTTTTCAGAAGTTTACCGAGAACTTGAGAATAATATTCATATAATAACATTTCTTATTATTTTGATAATGCAATATTTCGTTCAATAAATGATTACAAATCGTTGTAAAATGATAAGAAATCGTTAAAATGAAAATAATATTAATCACAACAAAAGCATTTTTTAGACTACACACCTGATCTCAATGAAGTAAACTTTAGCTGGACGAAGGATCAGTAAAAGTAGTGCGTCCGAACAGGATAAACGTTATTAAATAATGTTCTCGTGGTACACAAATTAATGAACAAATAAACAGTCAACATACAAACATTCTCAAAAAAAGCAAACACTCAAATTCATCGTTACCGTATATCATAGCATCATAATAAAAATGAAGATCATGATAACAATTCAAATAAATAATGACTAATATTTCATGGTGAAATGATTCAGTGTGACATCATTATTTGCACTATAACTTAAATTTCACACATCATTCAACATTATTATTCACCTATCTACCTACACACCTATTTACATTATCGAGCAATATTTTTTTACGATTCCAAAATTCAAATCATCATCTAATTTCTAATCTGTAAATAAACGATTTCGAAAAACTTATTTCTCAGCATTCAATATTGTTCTTGTTCAATTGCAATTTCAGTTGTTCGGTTGGTTGAGCGGTTGATGATATAACATAACGAATAAATGGATACAAACCACTCCTCTCAAACTTCAAATAAGTGATTATTAAAACTGTTCATTCAAAAACGTACATCTCTATATACATCAATATAATAACAAAACGAACGGAGCGATCATGCGCAACGAATCGATTGAATATGTAAATAATAATGAATAATCTTCCGCGACAAAAAGTATATTCACATACGTGAATATGAATCAGTTTAATATTTGTTAGTAATATTGAACGCTGACAGATAAATCATATTTACACATCACTCCAACTCTGTAAATCGGTAGATGAGTAACTGTAATCTGCAAGCGAAAGCAGCGAGTGGAGGAAGTATTAATTTGTCTCATTTGATGAATGTGTTCTATTCAAGTGGTACTTTCTGAGATATATACGTGGAACGATAATCATTTATTTGATTGGTGCACATGCATATTAATAACATCTAATATTCCTATTCTATAGTAAGTAAAATGTGGTATTCATGATCACAATACTAACAGTGAACGAGGTCGAGCGAAGAAAGGAATACTGTAAATGCGAGCAGAAAGGAATTGATTGGTCATCATTTACAAATGGCGTTCGATGAAGGACAAAAATTAATTGGGAGAGCTTAACCAACAATATACCATTACTACCTAATGCGTTCAATAGCGTCCGTTTGTCTTTTTCGTTTGAATTTCAAATTTCAAACACTTTCCCAATTAATCGATTTTAAATTGCCACTAAATGTATGGAACGCTTCTCGTCATCGTACGCTCATTCGTTTGTCCATAACATTTGAATCTGATGCCGATTGGCTCAACAGGTGAATATGACAATATATGAATAGAAATATTAAATTGTAGTCGTTGTTTAAGGACGACGATTCAGTAGAGTATAACAGTGATCCAATCAATTAACTTGAATGTTTATTGACGTTTGAGATGATTATATAAGATCAATCAAATAAATGAATGAATCGAATAAACAAATGAAATGCACAATTCAAAGTAGCAGCAACAATAACAACAGCTTTAAGCTTCAGTAAATACTCAATGCGAATAAAGTTCACAAATATCTCGAAACCATTATTATGCGAATGATAATAAATAAATAATAACAATAATAATGACAATAACAATAATAATAATGATAATAACAATAGTAATAAAAACAACAACAAAACAACAAGAATTTTTTCATGCGGATAAATCGAAGATCAGTGAGAAAATAATCAAGTTATTCCAATAATTCAATAAAATAACAAACTACAGTAATCAGATATACATACCTATGTATAATACGAACACAGATCCTCAAATTCTAAAAAATGCAAGAGGTCTATAAATAAACTTACGAAAGTTATAAGCGACCAATGATAGGTAATGAAACAAGCTCTCTCCAAACAAAATACAATACAACAGGTTAAACGCAAACCGCTCCAAGTAACAATCATGATAGAAAATAATCTTGATAAGTAAGGGAATCGAATATGGATTGACGCACTAAAACATCGTTATCTTGAGCGTTAATGTCGGTTGTCCTCATACGAGGTCAAATAATAAATAAACGTTTTATTACCTATTAACTTATGCCACTCTCACTAATACCAGTGCAATGCTCTCCATGCTCCTAAGTAATTTTTTTCGTTGTATAGAATTCAAATAAATTCCAAACAAGCATTACACTGTTGTGGAAATATTATAAATAATACTTCGGAAGCGTACATTGATTACGTCTCCTCATTTCAGAGGATCACATAATAAATGAATGAATAAATAAATGACCGGATGAACTGCTAAAGCAGAAAAGAACAAAGCAAAGCGTAAAAATCAATTTGAACATAACATCAACGAAGAAAACTAATACATAAACGTAATGAGATCAATCAAAAATCAATCACTGATCATAATAAGTATAATACAAATACAAAGTCAATCGAATAAATAAAACCTAAACGCAATTCTATACCTACAAGAATGTACCCCATTTCTCGAGTAGTTCAGCTTTTAATTCAGCACTCATTCGACGATAATCTTCATCGGCCGCTAAACTTCTGAATACGTCGATTGAAATCGAGTCGAATAAAGACTGCTTAATTTCGCTCATTCGATATTGCTCAGCCAGTCTAATCGCATGCATTATCGATGAAGTGGCTAGACTTTCAACGATGAATCGCTCACAACGTGCATACAATGCACTGAATTTGAAACGATCGGCTAGTTCAAGCACTGCGTCGATATTGGCCGCATACAATCGTTGTGTTCCTTTCAGTACATCGATAGTTTGTTGGAACGCCAACGAATCAACACCGTAAATTGGCAAACGAATTTCGTTCTCTTCTTCAACAAATTCAAATAATGACGCAAAATAAGTGGAACTTTTAGCGAGATGACTCTTCGACACCCCAATACGCTTATCGGCAACAATCAGAACGCAGTCATCAATCCACTGTTGCCAAGTATCATCAATTGGTTGCAAAGGTGTTAGCTGAAGACAGTCACTCTCAACGAAGCCGTGTCGTTGTTGCACTCTCGACGATAAAGACATTGACAAATTAGCATTATTATCGAGGCCACCATCATCATCATCCTTATCATTATCAATCTTTGAATGCTTCACTCTCAAAGTTTCAGAACTTCCCTGCTCACGTCCTTCTGTTAAATTATTCCATTCAGATGTTGTTGATGAGTAAAATCGGCTCTCATATAGACGCGCGTTCTCCTGCAAATGTAAATGTTCTATCATCAATCGAATGAAATTCATCGGTACCGATTTTGGACCATCTCGTTATTAATATTAAATGAGTGATTGTGATCAAGAAAGTTTAGTGATTCTAAATAAAATATAGAGGGTAACAAAATAATGAGACAAATTCTGAATGCAGATAAATTGAGATAGAATGGAATAATGAAAGAAAACGAGCACATCACCGACTAACCTCATACAAATTTGATGACTTTTGCTGACTAAAAATCGGTTTATTGCGGTGGTGTTGTTGATGAGGAGATGATATGCTAATGATATCATTTGCTGAACAACAACAATTATTATCATTATTACTATGATCATTTGACATGAATCTTTTACGATTCGCTATCGTTGTCATTGTTGGCGTTATGATTGGTGGTGAACATGAATTTGAAACGATCAGGTCATCTGAGCTGCAGCTGCAGCAGCAACTTGACGATGAAGAAGAGTCGAAGAAGAATGTTCTTGATGGACAAGAGTCATGCAAATTCGAAAGAGTTGTGCTATCTGGAGTGTCAACAACAGCCGGATGCAGCTGATCAGAGTGCAGTTCGAATTCATATTGTCCTGATAACCAACAATCACAGAGACGGCATAAAACCCCATTATCACTTCTTTGCATATTCATCATCTTATCACTGCTATTCACATTGGCTATTGCTCCTGATGCTGGTCGAACTGATGTTAACGTTATTGGGGTTCGTTTTTTGGTTGTATTGAATGCTTTATCACTGCTGCTGCTATTCAGCGAAACTGAAAGCGTTTGTTGATGAGGCGCACCGAAGTGTTGTTGCTGTTGTGCATTATTCATAGGGGAAGAGTTGTTGTTGGTATTGTCAATGCTTGAGGGAAATACGGAGAAAGAAGAAATCGAAGAATTGACTAGATTCGAACTGGATTTTATGAAGGTGCACTGTTGTTGTTGCTTAGTGGTACTCGTTAAAGAAATGTCTTCTGCAGCACCAAACGTCGGAATAGAACATATTGTCTTTGAGCGTGAGGTTGTGGCTGTGACAGAATGACTATTACTGTTGCCTTCTAAAGGCTGTTGATGTGCTTTAAAACCAGTAGCAGTAGTGGTAGAAGCAGCAGCGACAGCAGCCGCTTTTGCTTTAACTTCAGCGCATGTTGAGCGATGCCTTTTGAGTGAATAATCTGATGATAACAATCGATTACAATCACTACATATACGTCGTGTTGATACTGCACCTCCTGCTCCTAATTGCATATTTATACTGTTGCTGCTACTTACTGACGATCGTTTTTGCTGCTGTTGCTTTTGTCGTTGAAAATAATCACCATAAGTTTTGCTATTAGCAGAGTTATTTATAAAATCAGTACTGTTTAAATCATTGTTTAGCGATAATGATATATGATCAATTTGTTGATTTTTCTCATCTTGCTGCTGCTGTTGATGTACAGCATATACTGCAACACCACGTATACCATCTGAGGAGCTGCAGTTTGGAGTTGTCGGCTGAATAAGCATCCGACTTGGAACGTTGTTGACATTGGCAATGACAGTGGTGGGTAATGATGAAAAGAGTGTGGAAGAATTTGATTTTGATATTGATATGCTACCAGATGTGGCAACAGCAGCAGCGTCAACATTATGGAGATCACATATCGACGTCGACGACGGATATTCCACCTCATCAACGAATGATGTCGTATCAGCTTCGGCCAATTCGGTTCTTCGCTTCTTTCTTAACTCGTTATTTTCACTTACTTGTGCTAGTTGCAATTCTGTTGTCTGTGCTGCTGCTGCTACTACTTCGTTCGTCATTTTTATCGATTTAAATCTACCGGCTGATCGTCGAAGATCTTCTTCGATTTTAGCCACTTGTAATTTATCATTATCATCTTGATCGTCAACATCAATGCGGTAATTATTAACACAATTATTACCGTTAATCGATCGCTTCGACGATTCAATAGTTGGTGTTACTGTCTCAACAGAGTTTATATTCTGGATAGCACTTACAGAAGTACTAAAATCAACAACTACATCATCACAAGCAGAGGCAGCAGCACGAAGTTCATGCTGAAGTGGTAATATGTTGACAATAGCTGTAAGTTGCCGTTGTTGTTTATGGTCCGACTGCGTTTGATCATTATTTATTGTTGGTAAGTGCAATTTAATTGGTCGTTGTGAATTTACTAACTGTTCTGGTAATAACTTGTGAACGGCCATTCGATGACGTTTCACGTTCTTTCGACATGAATACGTTTTGTGACATTCAGGACATTCGAATCGACTGGACAATGACGAGTTGGAATCACGCTGAGTATCGTCATGAAGATGTTCAGAACTGTTGTTGGTGACGAGCCGATGGACAGTCGAGCAAGTACAAGACAGTGAAGAAGACGTATCAACATCTTTATTGTATGGTGACGATAACGGCGATATGCACGACGTTGTTGGCGAATCTGAATAACGGCGACGAGCACCAGCACACATGTTAGAATGTGCTCTAGCTACTATCGGATTGTTCACTCTTCTTCCAGAATTCGCATTACCGTTATCTTTATCATTACTCTTATCACAATTCTCATTATTACCGCCACTACTCCTTTCATTATTATTACTGTTCTCGCTAGCATTATCAATAAAATCATCGCTATTATCAGTTTGAAAAGTTCGTTGTCGCAATTGAATTGCTGTTGTAGAGTTTCTAGGTTGCGATATAGGCGACATTAGCAGTGAGTTTCCATCGTCACTGTGACCAGCAATGTTCGCGTTTGGTGTTGATCTCTTGATTTCTGAACTGCCTTTCACATTTTCAATAATATTGTCATCAGCTGATGAAAGCTTTTTCTGCTCTTCTTCCAGGAGTCGTTTTTGACGTTCCTGTTGGAGACGACGTTGTTGATTATGTTGCGCTCGTAGATGTTCACCGACAGTTATCTATAACAATAGTAATATTATTAATAATAATAACAATAACAATGATAATAAAAGTAATAAAAATAATAGTAATAACAATAATAGTAATAATAATAATAGTAATAATAATATTAATAATAATAGCAATAATAATAATAATAATAACAGTAATAATAAAAAAGTAATAATAATAGTAATAGTAATAATAGCAATAATAATAACAGTAATAATAATAATAATAATAATAATAGCAATAATAATAACATCAATATTAATAACAACAAAACAAGTGATAATATTGATTCAAATAATGAACCAGCAACAATGGCCGAATGATAAACCAAGAATTTACTAGCAAAATAAAAATATGAACGGCGAACCCATGGCTTATCAGTGAGCATTGCGACTTTTAAATCGCCACATTTGATCTCACTGGAAGCAGCAGATGCCTGTTGTTGTTGTTGCTGCTGCTGCGGTGATATAGTCACGATACTGATATAATTACCATCCTTTATATCAGTTAGGGTGTGATAATTGCTGCTTGCCAGTTTACAGGTGGAACGATGTCGCCGTAAATTCGATGCAGAACACAACGAACGATTGCAATGCTCACAGATATTTAGTGATTTGTTTGTTGTTGGCTGTCGACTTGGGATATTGTTTTTTGGAGTTACTGCAGTCGGCGGTGATGAATAATTCAATGGTGATGATGTAGATGATACTGTTGCTGATGATGAACTGAAATTAACTTCACATCTGTTTCACCAACTATTCAGTCCCTTCTCAATCAATATTGATAGCGATAATGCTATTAATATTATCGTAGACATTTGCACCAAAAGAATAATTGAAGGAGAATAACTCACCAATCAGAATGAACCAAATTTACATTGCAACTGATATGCTTGTTACTACTATCATTATCGCACTCAGGTTGTAAGTGTTGATTTTGTGAAGTAGTAGTCGAATCGAATCGATACAGTTTGCAGGTGCTACGGTGACGCTTTAAACTACGGCTAGAGCTAACTCTTCTTGAGCACGATTCACACTGATAAAGTGCGGTGATATTATCCTGAAAGAATGATCCAACTCTATTGCTACTAGCATGAGTACTATCATTGAAATGTTAACATCAGAGACAGACGAACACTTTTGATATTGCTTTCGTTGACTGCAGTTGAAGATAACGAAGACGACAACGTAATTGAGTTTCCATTATTATTATTATTATCACTACCATTATCATTACTGCTATTATTGCTATTGTCATCATATCCTCGTGCTATACCATCTGATCGAACTGAATCTGAATCTGCTTTGCGGATGGTGAATGAAGAGGAGGGTGCTGGAGACGATAACGAAGATGAAGATGATAATGAATTGAAATCTGCTGCTGCTGCTGCTGCTGCTGCTGCTGCTGCTGCTGCTGCTGCTGTTTTGAGAGATACATTTTTTGTCGATGTCATTTTACGGTTCGATAAGAATCTTGCTGAGATCTGATCATTATTCAACGATCCAAATGAATTCAGAGTACCGGTACTATTATTTTGATTACGGTTATTATTATTATTTGATAATGATGCTTTTTGATTCCACGATGATGCAGCACTCAGTATTTGAGATACATTCCTTAAGTATGCATACAATTCATCAAATCAATAAACGAATAAATAATAAAGTTTAAAACGATAAATTTCAATATACAATCATTAAAAGCACCTCGCAACTTCTTCTTCAACACTTTTTGCATCAATTGCAGATTGCTGCTGTTTCTTAGATAATGAAGAATAACGACTACCAGTTCGACGTCCACGTTCCACACCCATTGATCTGTAAGCAAACCAGTAAACAAATGATAACAATGCTCATATCCATGCGAATACATCTGCACACCAACCTATAAAATGTCCTCACTGGAACATTAGTTGTAGTATCGTAACGCAATTGTTTCGCTCTTGATGATGGTACATTATATGCTAGATGATATGCATTATTCACTGAATTAATTGCCTTCATGAGTCAAAAAGAAAAGAAATTTAATCAAAGCAACATTCCATGATAAACGTGCACACAGTTACTAATAACAATAAAAATAATAACAATAATGACAATATTAATAACAATAGTAATAAAATAATAATGACGATAATAATAATATAATAACATTTAATAATATAATTATTTAATAACATAACAACAATAACAAAAATTAATAATAATAACAATAACAGCAATAATAATAACAATAATAATAATAATAAACAAAAACAAAATAACCTCGTAAATTCGTTGTTGTTTTCGAGAACACATTACTGTTATTACATATTACCTGCCGTTGAATTTGCTTTGTGCTTGCCTGATCGCTTGCATCAACTTTATCATTGTTATTATTATTATTAGTATAATTATTATTATTAGTGTTATTATGCTTAGTTATAACAAGATTATTATTATTATTATTATAAGAGGCGATATTGAGCGGTGCAGTGGTCGTCAACAAGTAAGTGGTGATCCGGCGTTGATTATTCGGTTGAGTAACAATTGAATTATTGTCATTATGTTGATTCTGAATCGTGCTGATCGGTGTCGCCAGTTGATAATTGGCGATGATTCGATTCGATGAAGAGGAAGGATCACTTTTGAGTGTTATAAAACGATAATTGCTTTGAGCTTGAATCATCGATTTGTTTATTGCTTGTTCACTTCATCAATACTGCTCCTGATATTTGCTATTGTTTCTTCGTCATCTGATTATTCATTTATTCATCTTTCGTCAATAAGTACTTTTAAAAAATACAGAAAAAAAAAAGAACGAATCGCTGATTTACCCGCACTCATAAACATACACCACTTTCCTTCAAATCCGAATGAACTGAATTCAAAAGATTATTTTACTTTGCATTCTGCTTGGATATAACCTCAATGGTTACGTGTTTGTCATAAATTTTTCTTCACCAAAATATTATTACGTATGAAGCTGAACGAAGTCATGAATAGGATCATGAGCGAAGCCTAAACCATGCCTCACTTCATTTTCGAATTAATGAAAAATCAACTTATCGCAGCACAAAGAATATGTCGTTAGACATTTCATAAATGAGATCATTTTGAGCGCCTAATGGAACAAATTCCAAACGATTGTTGCATCAGGCTATTTTGATGGTTGATTGCAATTTCAATTGTGTTTACGGCGAGTCCAAACGAAAAAAAAAAGATAATTCTAACCTTTACGCAACCATTATTGACGTTTTTGCGCACATCATCGATCAGTCAATTAATCCACACCTTTGACGATAAACACAACATAATATTGAGTTGAACAACTGTGCTCAGTGAATACACACAGTCATCATTCTGCAATAATAATGCTAATAACATGTCATTATTAATGACATAAATCTAATTAACAGCCTACAAACGACTAACGACGAGCGCTCGTCTGAACTTCCGTCTTTCACAAGAAACGTTGTCGTTATGACGATATGGCACATATATTCACCACAGATATGAAACAACTATAAAAAATTACTTATGAATTAATACCATGAATAGGTTATTAGATGCGAGCCAAATCATAGCCTGGCTCACGCTCGGTAATGCGCTATGATCCGCCTTGTATCTAATTATCTGCTCGTGTTATTATGATCGCATATAAATCAGTTCACTTTAATTGTAGCAGTTGATGTTTATCATATTAGTTTAGTATAATGTGCGCTGAAGAACTGATTGTAAACTCAGCACAAACACTTAACGGTCTCTTCGATGGCTCACAAGTTGAGCATCCATTGCTATTCAATTCCCGTTCGCGTGGGAAAGTTTTGCTCGAAACCAACAACGTTATAAAAATTAATATAAAAATGAATGAATATTCAGACGTCTCCTTCGCTGCAATACAGAAACATTAAATAAGAAACTGACTCGACATATATGTATATAGATATACATGCAAATGGACTTTCTAAGACGAATTCACTCAAAATCGATCCATTACATTCCAAAATATATCGCACTTGGATAATGGCAATAACGGTGATGCTGATGACAACATCGACATACTCCACATTGCCACCAGCGCTACTATTAATTTGAAAATTCTCGACTATAACAGTCACGAAGATAATAATAATATTAGTAATAGCGACGATAACGACAACACTATTATCAATAACAGTATTGATGATAATATTAATAATAACACAAGTAATAATAATAAGAATAATAATCTTATTGATTTGGTGCGTAAGTTCGTTCGCTTTTATTCAAATTCAATTATTCCGGCGAAAGTTCACGCTTCCGGATGAGTGTCATATACCGATCGATATCGTGTTTTCTGTTCTTTGTAACTATGTTAGACGGTCTACTGCAGTTTTGTTTTCTTTGGATTTTCAACGTGACGATTGACCGATTAGCGTTTGTAGTTTAAAAATGAAGTTCTAGACAGCTTAATAAGAATAATAACCATGGAAATGATTCGTTTAAAAATTTCCAAACCGTCACCGTCATTCGTTAGTCATATATTGTCCTAGTAGCAGTGCGACTAAATTGGTATAACCGATCAGAAGCTTGAGAAAAAATAGCTAATGATGGTGATGCTAGCAACGAGTAATAGAGGTGGAACTAATTGGAAGATACCTTGCAAACGTCTTCGATCGCTCAATTAATAATCTAAGTTTTGATCTGCTTTCTGCACTGACATGAGGGTGAAAAGAGCATTGATGAATGAGTAAATGTACTCCTTTATTGAAGATCGTCTGGAACAACGAGGCACTGATTCGCGTACTTGCACAATGAGTTATCACTGTAATTGCTGATCAAACAAATAATTGGCTGAGTATATAATTGAAGCAAAATTAAGTGAATGACTAATAAAGTTTCACAGATAGCTAACTGAAGTTCATCAATTGCACTTCTTGTTTTCATCGACGAAAATTTTTTAAAGCCGCATTTATCATTAAAACGATATCATTTATCGCTCGTTATTGTAACTCATCATGAATCACACATGAAATTGTTAGTGTTTCTGTCTCTGTGTCTCTCGAAGAAAATATGTAAACAACTTGGCTTAACGAAAATCAACAAATAAACTAATTATGAAATAAAACAACGAAACTTAATAAATAAATCGATAAAGAGATTAAAAGTTACGCAAATCTCCAAATAATCTAAATCAGTAACATCACAATCAAACAAACTGCTCACGACATATATAGCAGAGTATCATCAACGCTCAACTATGAAAAAAAGACACTGAATCATAAGTGAATTAAATCTCGATCAAAGAACAATGGGAATAACTCAACAACGATCACAATACTCATTTCATAAACAATTCAGCTTCAAACGACCACAAAATACTATATATACATAAAATAACAGCAGAAGTCTGATTATTACTCACCAATAGATAACATACTAATCATACGAACAAAAACCCATTAAATAATCATTAGTATTGCACATAGTATTTCAAAATGATCACTACAACAAATAAATCAACAGAATGCTAAATAAATAACTAATTCGATCAAGTAATCACGAAGAACCACCAAAAACGTGCGCGGAAATCGACGTTTCAAAGAGTGATCGCAGTAGTTGCGATTCACCACTTAATTGAATTGCGTTTTCAATAAGTTGATGACTGCTGAATGATTTTATTGATTCCATTAAACGCAACACCTTTGAACAGAGACGTAATTGCGCCGAACGTCTGCAATTGCAAAATGAGTGAATTGAATTTTTACTTGTCGCCATATAATTCTGATTGTACATTACAATTCAAATTTGACACTATTCAAAAGCGACTAGTATATCTGACTGTAATATTAAATCAAAACAGAACCTCAGAATGAGTGTTTTTAGCAGAGACGACTGTGATTTAGTGAAGGTGAACGAATTTTGTAGAGTTCTCAACTGATGAATGTGATTATTGATAATACGAGCACGACGCTTCAACATGATCGTATTGTTGCGCATGCATACACTCGAACATGATGACAGGGCTAAACGCCAGCGAAGTTCGGTACCACATCTCGATATTATAAACGATATCAAACCGGGTACGCTCATCGACCAATCTCTCGGCATAGCACTGGACGCTGATTCCCTTAACACATTCTTTCGAATATTAAGAATAACAACAATAAATATCAAAAAATGCCACACCTAACAACTCAACCTATAACGTAAATTTTCCAAAAGCACTTCTTTTCGGACTTGTACGAAATGAGCACTTGTGGGATAACAACTTCAATATATTGTATATCACAAACGAACAAGTTCAATAAATAAGACAGAAATCGTTTACGCACCTTTTTGATAGAAAGAACAATACAGATGGCAAACGATCCATTTTAAATTGCCATGGAAGATCATTCTTTGAAACGTCCAATCTGTATTGAAAAGTAACCGATAATACATAAAAATAAACATCAATAACAGCAACTGTAACAACTATTCTTCTTATCGTCATTGTACATAAATTAATTACTTGAAACTGTATGATATGCAATAACGAACATGACGAAGTTAATCATTGATTCGAATGGCTTGAAATAATAAGCGACTGTGTGGAATATGTAAAAAACTGACGAACTCGGCCCATGCCACGCACCATTTATTAGCAACACAACCATATCTTGAGAAGAGTTCTGAATGATATGTGGGAAATAACGATCGAGGACGAACAAAAAGTTTGAATAAAAATGACAATATCGGTAACAACAATAAGAAATTCCATTAACGTTTAAATCAATTTAAAGGATGCTGCAGAAACATTACGATTAAAAAAGATTAAAAGCTTTATTCAAATTATTAGTGGATGAGTGACAATGTAGTCCTCCATAAGGATTTAATTTCACTCGCTGTCTGATTGCAATAATAAAATTACCGAACCTTTCGAAAAATAATTCAACAAATGAATAGAATTACCAGCAAACAATGAAAATGATTTAATGAACTTCCAAATAACGAACAAACCTTATTAAGAAGACCACTCATGAACGTATTTGCAGATGTTGTGTTAATTTTATTAATATTTTTCTTATTACTTGTCAGTTGTTCATTCGAAGTTGCCTTCAATTGTTTCGCAAGTTTTTCTTCACTGATTTGATGCCGTGATAGTAGACCATTATGGTATGATGCAACGAATTTTTTCAGTGTATCTCTGCAATACTGCTCATTAATTTCACTTGACAATCTACAGTTTTTTTGGTGAGCATCGACAAGCAAAATTTTGAGCGTCAGTTGATTTCGATTGGTGACCACCGGCAGATCCGACCCGGTGGCTATTGAAATCAGCAATCATCAACCGATCAGTCAGCTTCAACTAATTATTAACTATCATCACACTACAAAAATGATAATGATTTTATTAATGATCAAATTTCATTTCACTGAACTTCTTTTACCCATCTTGCACTTCCTCTAGAACAGCACTCTTCTCCGCAAAAATAGAACATTTAGATATTCTTTCAATCACTCACCTTGTCAACGTCTCTTGCATAACAAAAATCTGCTCATTTATTCCATCAACGATAATAACGTTACTTTCTTCGTTTGCAGACGACTTCAAACTCGGCGAGTTTATAGCCAATTTTTCAATCAAAAATCCATAATGTTGTGTATCAATGGCCATAAAACTGAAATTAGTTGAACTACTATAGTGCTTACGAAGACTATCATGAATGCACTTGAATCATGAATGAAATGCATAATGCAAGCGAAAACGCACCAACCGTAATGAGTTATTATACGAACAAGACAGGTGCGCTACTGACAATGAATCATATTGCTGTTGTCGTCGTTGCTGACCATCACTAATACTTTCATGAATCGATTTATCATCAGCGTTCTCATCACTGTCAGCTCGTCTAGGCGCATTATTGGAATCAGTATGAGATCTTTCGTTGTTTTTCTTAAGATGAGACGAATCACCGTCAGTAGATTCAAAATAAAGGTCACTCGTGCTTATTCGATCCATCGCACCACCGCCACGTCGCATTCGATAATTATTGCAACGCTGTTGCATCTTCTGTGATGTCATTCGTCTACGCTCTCCGTAAACACTTTCCATTTCAGTCAATAAACAACACATTTCAACGACAATCGACTGATTATTGCTTGGTCGCTCTGAATGAACTAACAATTGCAACCGTAATCAATCAAACAAATGATCTGTTAATATCAGATAACAGCAATCAAACATACACGAGATTACTACATCTACTTGTTCGTTCACTTCACAACGATCATTTTCATTTCAAGTGACTTCAATGAAAGAAATGAAGAGTGTTTTTTGGCTGCCTTGAGATCATTGGTACAGAATTAAATCAAACAACGAACTGACCACTGCTGAGTGTAGAGGAATCGAATAGATTACCACATATTGGTGATGATTTCAAATTAAATAAAACAGTTTTCTTTGTGCATTCATCACGATACGTTGAATGCACGTTCTGGGCAGGCGAATTCCACCAAAGCGTTCTGATACAGCGCCCACAATAATCCACCAACTCATTGTATTTGTTATGACAGCAAGCGATTACCTGTTCTTGTTCTTAATATAATACTCCGTATGCTTATAATTCTTGATATGATACTATTACAATATGTAATAATATAACACTTATAATACACTAATGAGTAATAATACTTCATCAAAATGAAACTAATAAAGGAAAATACCTATTCGAAAAATATCCATAGTTAGGCAAATAAGTCAATGGATAAGAAAATAAACCTGAACGAGTGATGTTTTGAAAGTTTTAATTGCTTTGCACGCAATATGATCCATTTCAAGGAGTTTTATTCGTTTCTGTCGATATTTCTCACGAATTTTAAGTGTTTGTTGAATCTGATTCGTATACGCTTCACTACAATCCAAATATTCCATTGCTGTCTAGAACAATCATCTATTATAATCATCTGCCAAAGAGCTTCCACTCAATTATTCAGCAAAACTCGGAATGCGATAAAACTCATCAAGTAACCTGTTCCACGATCGAAACTTCGGATTTGTGCGCATAAAGTGGTTGCCTTGCTGTGAACAATATCAGCGTCGGAGCTGATTGTAACTTTGTCAACAACTGTTCTGATTTCAACATTCGATTACCCTCTATGAATAATAATAATATTAACAATAATAATAATAACACAATGGCAATAATGAACATTAAACACTGTTTTCAATAACACACTCATAGTAATCATGAAGATGAAAACGATTATTGGTAACGATAATAAACAAACAACCTGGCACAAGCCAATGCAGCGAAGTTGAATGCGTAAGGGAGTAATCTCGAATCCAATAGGTGATCTCCAAACTTGAATAGTTTCGTGCAAGCGGGAAATGCATCGGTGCTTCACCTTGTTGAAACAGTTGAATGTGTCCTTCATGAGTGAATTTCAACCAGTGCGCTAACCGCCACTCGGTCACTATCGCAAAACGAACGCCACCAAGTAATTCTTCTCAAATGCTCATAGTTATAGAATATTTATACAATTATACGATTTTGGTCGCCAAAATTATCGCGAGCGTGTGCTTCAATCCGACATATTATACTTATATGATTCAGTTACTACTACTGCAGCAAAGCAACCATCGGGAAATATGTTTTTGCAAGATTCAAGCCGCAGTTGAAGCCTCCTGAGGCTAAAGGTTATTGTCGAAACCGGAACGTGACAAAACATAATTCGGCAAAGATTATTTGTGCTTTCCTTCGAAACTTATTACAGTATTGAGCAAGACCGCACGATTACCAATGGATTATGTTTACTGACTGAGGTTCACCTTTTTTTCAAAGCAATACCACAAGGCGATGTATTTATAATTGCAAAACAGATATGTTTTGCAAAAAATATAATATGAACACCGACAAACGAACCATATTGTGCTGCAATCAACGACGCCACAAAATATTCTCTATAACGCCACGACTGCTTTAGAATACTCTGTAAATTTCTGCTTGCATCAAAACATATATATATATAT